ATCACTCTCTTTCTCTAAACACTTCTCCATTCACCATCAAAGAAAGGAGCCCTCTGCTGCTCTTCTGACTCGTTAAGGCTAACTTTAAATTGAAATTTTCTGTGTCTTGTAGTATTTCTTAAAATATCATTATTGCTACAGATGCTATTGACATCTCACAGTCATTAAATATGCTAGGTACCAAGAAAAACAGCAGGATTCCACCTGAATACGCAAGCACGCAGGCAGGTATGCACAGGCACCTACCACACACACATCAGGAGCAGTAGCACCTATCAGGTGATGTGCATGAGGTCTCGCATCAGGTATTAAACAATACAAAATGAAGACATGCCCCATTTTCAAGTACCTGTCCTTTGGGCAAGTCTGTAGGTACATATCTTCATAATATTCTGTCACTCAAGACTCTCATAAAGCCTTTCTTTAAGGAATGCTCAGACATGAATAAATTTTCCTGTACTTACAGCTAAAATGTCCGCCTCTACAGGCAGCAGGTTTAAGAAGGCAAAGAGCTGGACGGTCAAGAGGGTGTAGACTTGTGTAGCCGACAGCATGAGCATCCCTATGGAGAGCAGCATCGTGTCAAATCACCTGGAAGACAAGGACACAAACAACCATCAGAGTTGGTGCCTGTTACATGAGAACAGTCATATGCCACTGAATTCCTAATGTTCAAAAATATCCACTCTAGATACAAACGTGTTAGCTGACATTAAAATGAAAACACATTCCAGAAGCATAAGAATTCATATCATAAGCTTATCCATAAGCATAACCAGCACCTGCATGATTCACGGTGTGTCATGCACAAAGCAAACTTCCTCCCACAGTGCCGGGTCTACTAACCTAATTTTAAGAAAAACTAAATTTCAATCCAAATTTTGGTTTAAAACACACAGAAGAAAAATTCTAGCCAGTGCAATCAGGCAAGAGAATAAAATAAAAGTGTAAAAAATAGGAAAGAAAGAAGTCAAAATTATCACTACTTGCAGAAAATATGATCCTATACTTAGAAGATCCAAAAAAAATTCACCAAAAGACTGCTAATGCTAATAAACAAATTTGGTGAAGTAGCAGGTTAGGAAATCAACATACAAAAAGCTTTCCTATATACCAACAATGAATCTGCTAAGGAAGAAATCAGGAAAACTATTCCACTAACAATAGCCTTGAAAGAAAGAAAGAAAAAACTAGGAATAAATCTAACCAAGGAGGTGAAAGACCACTACAATGATAACTATAGAACACTGAAAAAAGAAACTGAAGACACAGAAGAAGGAAACCCTACCCCCACCCCATGTTCATGGATAGGCAAAATTAATATTATTAAAACGGCCATGCTACCAAAAACAATGCAACATCCATCAAAGTACCAAAGACATTCTTCACAGTACTAGAAAAAAACAGTCCTAAAATTCATTTGGAAGAATAAAAGACCCAGAAAAGCCAAAGCAATTCTAAGTCAAAAAAGAATGCTAGAGATACCACAATTCCTGCCTTTAAATTATACTGCAAAGCATTAGTAACAAAACTGCATGGTACTGGCATAAAAACAATAAAAAACAGACCAATGGCACAGAATAGAAAGACACAGAGACAAAACCACACAGATGCAATAATCTGATCCTTGACAAAGTGCCCAAAACATACAATGGAGAAAAGATAAGACTTTTTAACTGTGCTGGGACAACTGGTTATCCATATGTAGAAGAATGAGACTTGATCCTTATCTCTTACCCTGCACAAAAATCAACTCAAAATGGATCAAAGACATCGGAATCAGACCAGAAATTATGCAACTCCTAGAAGTAAATGTATGAGCAACACTCTGATATATAGGCACATGCAATGACTTTCTCAATAGGCCCCACAAAGCTCAGGAAATAATACTAAGAATTAATAAGGAGGATGGCATCAAATTAAAAAGCTTCTGCACAGCAAAAGAAATTATTAGAAATATGAAGAGAGAACCCACAGGATGGGAGAAAATCTTCACTACCCACTCTTCTGACAGAGAATTAATATCTAAAATATACAAAGAACTAAAAAAACCTTACTACCAAAAACCCCAATTAATAAATGGGCAGATGAATTAAGTAGGCACTTCTCAAAAGAAGAAATATAAATGGTCAACAGTCAGAATGGCAGTCATCAGATATACAAACAATAATTAATGCTGGAAAGGATGTAGAGGAAAAGGACGAGCTTTATACTCTTGGTGGGATTATAAATTAGTACAACCACTATGTAAATCAGCATGGAGTTTCCTCAAAAGATTAGGCATGGAACCCCCATATGACCCAGCCATAGCACTTCTCAATTTTCATCTTAATGAATTAAAGTCATCACACTACAGAGACATGTATACCCTCATTTATAGCAGCACAACTGACAACAGCCAGACTATGGAACCAGCCTAGGTGTCCATCAATGGATGAATGGATCAAGAAAAGGTGGTATATATACACAATGAAGTCTTATTCAACCATAAAGAAAAATAAAATTACGTCATTAGCAGGAAAATAGATGGAACTTAAAACCAATATGTTAAGAAAAATAAGCCAAACTCAGAAGGTCAAGTATGCTATGTTTTCTCTCATATGTGGAATCTAGAGAGGAAAAAGGAAAAGAAAGATGGGGCAGATCTCATGAAAATCAAAGGGAGATCAGTAAGGGAAGGGGAGTGGGGGGAGTGATACTGGCCAAATTATATTTTATGCATGTATAAAATATATTTGTAATAACAAATTCCATCACTATGTACAATTATAATGCACCAATTTAAAAATGTGTAAAGAGAGGGAAAAAACAGAGAACATTTGTCTTTATTTTTTTAATTTGGGGGGCTGGGGATGCAGCTCAGTGGTAGAGCATTTGCCTATAATGTGTGACTGATCCCCAGTACCACAGAGAAATAAATAAATAAACTAGATTAAACTTTTTTTAGAAAACAACTGATGAAATTTTAAATGTTCTACAATTTTTAGGAATTTTAGTCTCAGCTCAAGGCAAATTTACTTTTTATTTACTCCTGTATGTTGTAACCACATTAAAGAATACAAAAAAATCTGCTTATTATAAAGTATATATTTAACATCTCAAATCCAATATCCCATATCTTCAAAACTGGAAACTTTGAACAGCAACATGCTCAGAGTGTTTCAGATTTTGGAGCATTTCCAATTTCTGATTTTCAACTGGTAAAGTCGATGCAAATACTCTAAAATCCAAAAACTCCTAAGTCTGAAACATCTCTGGGCTCCAGCACTTTGGATCAGGGGTACTCAACCATAACAGCCTCTGTTCTTTCCCTCCTAACACTCTGCCCCACAAATCCAAATGGCAACAGTGCAGTTACATTCTCCCCCTCCCCCCACACCACCCAATCACACCCAGGTCCCCACCTGGGTCCCTTTCTATCGTACAGCAAAAAGATAAGGTGAAAGGGCTACATGCTTGCCAAGTGAATGTCAAACCATCACTGGCCTCAATTGATGCACAGCATATTTTCAAATAAGTGAGAAAAAAAAACCTGTAAAAATGAGAGGCTTTCTCATGGATTATTTCATTAAATGCCCCCAACTCATGACATCAATTCTGATGATGATTATTGTTGACAACTGCTGTGGGTTTAGCAGCAACCAGACAGACTCAATTTCTAAAGTTTTACTCACATACTGGAAGGGAAATACCTGAGAATGATTTTCAAGGTATCATCTTACAAAGCCATTAAAATCACAGATGAAAAAAAGATGAAAACATATTCAAGTATTGTCCCACAGAGACAGAAAAGAGATTCGTGGCTGACGGGGGAAGAGGAGAGGGGTTTGAGGGAGGTGGGGACAGAAACTAGTTACCACTATAGACCTGAGAGTCCAGCCTTAGAAACACCTATTTGCAAGATTTTCCTTTGGCTGGCATTTATGAATTTAGGTTTTCAGATGGTTCCCACCATTTTCTATTAATAAGAGTTTAATGTAATTAAATTTTGCAGACAATGTGTTTCAGGCTGAACACCTGCTTTCCTTCTGGAGTCTGGACTCCTGGCACTCATTAGGCAGAGGGTATACACATCCACAATCCACAGGATAAACCCCAGCACTAAGATCCTAACCAGCTGCCTCGGTGGACACCTCACATGTGTGCCACACTTAGTGCTGAGGACTGGTCACCCCTTGGTTCTTCTAGACCTTGCCCCCTGTGTCTTCTCCCTTTACTGATTCTGCTGTAATAAATTACAGCCAGGAGGACACATGGGCTAGTCCTATAGATCCCTGGAGTGAAGCACTGATATGGACAATTTCTGGCCAGAAATCATTGAAACAGACAAATCCTCACAAAACAAGGAATGATTGCCATTAAATTTTACTAAGAAGAAAAAACATGTACCCTGTTGACTGGTGCCCTATTTGGGAAAATGAATCTGAATAAGAACTATGACTTTCCTTCTAAAGTTCCAGAATTTCCAGGAACCTCTGAGGTTAAGAGAGGGAGCAGAATCTGGAGAGAAAATAATTCTAAAGACAACAGACACAGGACCAATAACCATCAAAGCAGCGAACACCTGTCACTCCCTATGTGGCACATGAGGCATGTCTTAAGTTAGCTGATACCCACAACTCCAGAGGCGCCATCTCAGATGAGGAAAATGCAGACACTGATTTTGCCCAAGATAAACAACAAATAGTCGCAGAACCAGAATTCACACCTCACAGCTGTCTCTCAAGTGCACATCCTAGGCCCACCTAACAGTACAACACCAGGGCCAATGCCCCAGCCTGCAGCCACTCAAGACTCTTCCAGCAAGGGCCACAGCACAACAGTCATAGGATGTCTCCTTCCTCGACACTGCACATACATGAGTGTGAGAGAGAGAATGTGTGTGTGTGACAATATGCAGTGTGCTTTGGTTATACTTTTTGGCTTACTATCTTCTTAAAATTAATATTCTGGAATTTGGATTTTACAGTCTATTTACAAAACTAATTCTTGTTTATTGAAGGAAATGTGGAAAAAGTAAAGTCACCCAGTCTTCATATAAGGAAGAACCAACGACTACACTTTGATGCATGTGTGATTCTCCAGACTTCAGCTGTGAGTACATTCAGATATATATTTAGCTGAACATATTCTCTTGCTGGGGAGACACAGTACATATTCTCTTGCTAACTACATTCTCTTCACTTACTGCATTGTATTTTCCTAATTCATTAACCAAATTTGAAGAAGCTTTAAATTTTAAACCTTGTACCACAACATCCCGTCAAGGACCACTCCAGATAGCTGTCCATGAGACCCTCTGAGCTTCCATTCCTTTTGAACACTATATTTTCCTTACCTTATTTCATATATTGGGTTTCCATATGTGATGAGTTGATACAAAATGAGAATTACGGATTGGAAACAGGATGCATGATGGCTACATTCCTTATGAATGTTCCATAGTGGACAGAATGGGGAACCCTGTTGTTGGATGTTTCATTTAACTATTATAAATTCCATAATAAATATATTTTTAGTAAATACAACAACAAATATTCAATCAACAAAGATATGTTCAACATCTCTAGCAATTAGAGAAATGTAAATTAAAACTATGCTAACATTTCATCTCACTCTAGTCAGAATGGAAATTATGAAGAATTCAAGCAAGGGTGGGGATTGTGGCTCAGTAGACCATCTGTCTAGCATGTATGAAGCACTAGGTTTGATCCTCAGCACCACATAAAAATAAATACATAGAGGTATTATGTCCATCTACAACTAAAAAGATACTTTTTAAAAAAAGAATTAAATTATGGCATTTACAGGTAAATGGATGGAGCTGGAGATATCATGCTAAGCAAAATAAGCCAATTCCAAAGAACCAAAGACCGAAAGTTTCTCTGATATGCAGATGCTAATTCACAATAAAGAGGGTGGGACTAGGGAAGAATAGAGGTACTCTGGATTAGACAAAGGAAGTGAAGGGAAGGGAAGGGGAATGGAGATAGGAAGGATAGTAGAATGAATCAGGTATTATTATCCTATGTGTATATGTGATTACAAACGATGAGATTCTACATCATATACAACCAGAAGAATCAGAAGTTACACTCAATTTATTTATGATGTGTCAAAATGCATTCTACATTCTAATTAGAACAATTTTTAAAATTCTTCTAGTTAAAGAACCTATGGGTACACCCTTAGGTTTTGTTTTGTTGTTTGTTTTTATTAAAGCCACAGAATTGGCTGATACTATAATAAATGCACTAAGAAATATGGGATCTAGGGGCTGGGGTTGTGGCTCAGTGGTATAACACTCGTCTAGCACAGGTGAGGCACTGGGTTTGATCCTCACCACCACATAAAGATAAATAAATAAAGATATTGTGTCCATCTACAACTAAAAAATATTTTACAAAAAATAGAAAAAAAAAAGAAAAAGAAATACAGGATTTAGTCAGTCACAGTGACACACACCTGTAATCCCAGAAACTTGGGAGGCTGAGGCAAGAGGATCACAAGTACAAGGCCAGCCTGGGCAACTTAGTGAGACCCTATCACAAAAATACATAAAAAGAAATAATATCAGATAGATCAGGGTCTATGTAGCAGCATTGTTACATACAATAGTAATACAGTATAATTTGAAGGCAAAATGTTTTAATTACATAAACTGTTTCATCTTTAAAAGGAGAACAGGGCCTAAAAGACACTCTGTAGAATAAATACAGTTATACACAGAAAGGGCTCACCGTGACAGTGAAGTATAGAAGGGAAAGACTTTAGATAGCAGGTGACCCAGGAAATCCAGGAGAAGAACTAGAGCTGACAGGCAGACACGCTGCAGGAACATGGAGCTTAAGAGGGTGCTTCCAAAGACCAAGCCTACCTGTTAACTCTCAGCATGCCTTTCTTAGGAACATCTCACACAAGGCCGATACCTGCTCTGGTTTAAAAAGGTATGTTACCCTGTGGACTAACAACTTGTTATTCTCAGTGTTACTCTTCATTTTCAGGGCTGAAGAATGTGTGCTCAGACTCCTCCACCATTAAACACACACACACATTACCCTGATCCAGACATGCACAGTAGAGGCTCAAAAATCTTACACAATCCAACTGTCAATCAAAAGCTAAGATTGAGCAAAATTCTCCAAAAATATCCCTCCCACTTTAATAAAATTGGGCTTACAAGGACAGCAGCTGTCATTCTCCTTTCTCTGAGAGTGTTTTCTTACCTTCTTTCTCTTCCAATAAACATTGGTATACTTTTACCAAGTTCTGTGTCTTGGTTGAAATTCTCTTTTGAAAGAACACAATGCAATCTCCAGAAACACAGTGAGTGGGATGAATATAATTTGGGGAATTTTTGCTTAATATTTGTGGAACTTTGGTGTACATGTAAATAGGCAGTGATAAACAGTCTCATGCTCCACATCAGGCAGAGATTTGGGATCATCAAAAAATAGATAACTGAAGAATATAATTTTCACTTTAAGATAAAAGTGAACATCAAAAAGAAAAAAGAATATGTAAATGTAAGAGGCGGAGAGAGAAAGCAGAACAAAAAGAAATATTAATTTCACAAAAGTCAAGAGAAAAAAGAAACTTTGTAATAAATAGAGGGAGAAGGAGGCAACTGGTCAACAGGCCAATGTCAGAGAAGAGGTGGGCAGGGCTAAGGTGTCCTCAAGAACCTGAGACATGTAAGGAGTCTGTCTGTGTGTTCTACCAGTCCCCACTGCTCAATCCAACCTCTGTCCCCAGGATGCAGCCTGGTGGCTCTGTATCTTCATTCATGTGTCATCCAGAAACTAAATACTTTGGGGGGAAGGTGGTAGGGGGGCCTGCAAATCCTATGAAATTATAGGCTCAATTCTACGTACCTATGTATAAATATATGTGGTTTCCATGAAAAATGTCTGTGGTGGTTAGCACATTCTTTTTTTTTTTTTTTTAAGAGAGATAGAGAGAGAATCTTTTTTTTAGATGAACACAGCACAATGCCTTTATTTTTATGTGGTGCTCAGAATCAAACCCGGGTCCCGCCTGTGCTAAGCCAGCGCTCTACCGCTGAACCACAATCTCAGACCCAGCACATTCTTTTTAAAAAAAAAAAAACAAAAAAACTCTTATTGTTGCTTTCTTTTTAGATTTTAGCTTAATTTTTTCCTTCTCCAAGAAACTTTCTGAGGATAAAGTTGAACAAGCCAAAATCTTTGATACCTTTCCCAGCACTCAGCTTACCAATTTAGTACAAACGCAGATCTACACGCTTATCTGGCCTGTCATAATCCCACACCTGTGGTGAGTATGAAAGCTTTACTGAGATGAAGGTAAGAGTTCTCAAAAAAGATGCCTTTGATGTTGGTATGCTACTACCAGGCAACATTAATTACTGGAAAATGATTTCCTGATTGGTGAAAAGCATTTAAACTGGGAAAACCAGGGGTAAACCGTAATAGCTTACTACAAAAACAAAGCACCTCTGAGCCCTGTGTGGTGTGTCCTTGAAACTGAGCAAGACCTGCAGGAAGTGGAAGCTGCTCTGAGCTCCTTTCAGCACCTGTGAGTGTTCCTCTGGGGAGGTGATGCTGCCTACAGCCTGAGATCATGGTTTGCCATCCTGCACACACTGGGTGGGCAAGAAAGCACTCCTTGGAGGATGTAAGGCTTCCCGATGCAGATGTACTTCAGGTTGGCATGCTGTGCTCCCATCTATACGGTCCCACAGCGCTCAGGCATCTGGTGCCAGGGCATGGTGCACCTGTCACCGAGATCTGAGTGTCACTCAGAGTACGGGTTACCTCCACTGACACAGAGTGTGTGCTGTGCCCTTCTCCAATACAAGTCTTCCTGGTCTCTCCTCATTGAATTACTTAACTGTTGCAATCTATACAATAAAAAATATTTATGTATTTTTGGTTATGACTCTCATCATTCCCAAACAGAACATACTTACCCTGATGATATTCTTTAAAATAAACTTAGGACACACAGAAAGATACCGCTGGTTACAAATGCATATTTCTTTCTTCCCTCCTTCCTTCTCCTTTCCCTTCGCTCTGTCCTTGCCCTCCCTTCCCTACCTCCCCCTCTCACATTACCAAGGACAGAACATAGCTCTATATTCATCCTGAATATTGAATAAGCCTACAATGAGAAAAAAAATTATGCTTCTTCAAAGAAATGAAATTAAAAGAATATGCAAGAAATCTTCCAGAACTACCAACAGATTTCTAAAGATTCACTCATCACCACTATCCTTAATCACATTTAATTTTACATATTATTTGATAAAATTACATTAACTTTTTAAAATTTTTTCTTTTTAGTTACTACATGACAGTAGAGTATATTTTGACATATCATACATACATGGAGTATAACTTTCCATTCTTGTGGTTGTACATGATGTGGAGTTTCACTGGTCATGTATTTGTGTATTCATATATGAACATAGGAAAGTTATGTCTGATTCATTCAATGTCTTTCCTACTCCCATCCTCCTTCCCTTCCCTTCATTCCCCTTTGTCTAATCAATGAACTTCTATTCTGCCTTCCAGCACACCCCGCTTGTTGGTTGTTAGCATCTGCATATCAGAGAGAACATTCGACCTTTAATTTTTTGAGATATGCTTATCTCATTTAGCACGATAGTCTCCAGATCCATCCGTTTATCAGCAAAAGTCATAAAGTCATTCTATTTTATGGCTGAATAGTATTCCATTGTATATATGTGCCACAATTTCTTTATCCATTCATCTGTTGAAGGGCATCTAGGTTGGTTCCATAGCTTAGCTATTGTGAATTGAGCTGCTATAAACATTGATGTGGCTGCATCACTGTAGTATGATGATATTAAATCTTTTGAATATAGAACAAGGAGTGGGACAGCTGGGTCAAATGGTGGTTCCATTACAAGTTTTCTAAGACTCTCATACTGCTTTCCAAAGTGGTTGCACCAACTTGCAGTCCCACCAGCAATGTATGAGAGTGCCTTTTCCCCCACATCCTTGCCAATATTTATTGTTACTTCTACTCTTAATAATTGCCATTCTGATTGGAATAAAATGGAATCTTAGTGTAGTTTTAATCTCCATTTCTCTAATTGCTAGAGATTTGACCAACTGTACTTCTTTGGTGAAGTATTTGTTCACTTCCTTTGCCCATTTATTGATAGGTTATTTTTGGGGGGGGGTTGTTTGTTTGTTTTTGAGGGTTTTTGGTGTTAAGCCCTTTGAGTTCTTTATATATCCTGGAAATTAATACGATGAGGTACAAGTGGCAAAGATTTTCTCCCATTCTGTAGGCTCTTTCTTCATGTTCTTGATTATTTCATTTACTGTGAAGAAGCTTTTTAGTTTGATTCCATCCCAGTTATGGATTCTTGATTTTACTTCTTATGCTTTAGTAATCTTGTTGAGGAAGTCTGTTCCTAAGCTGACACGATGGAAAGTTGGGCCTACATTTTCTTCAAGTTAGGCACAGTGTGATGCCTAGGTCCTTGATCTATATTTGAGTTGAATTTTGTGCAGGGTGAGATAAGGGTTAAATTCATTCTGCTACATATGAATTTCCACTTTTTCCAGCATCATTTGTTGAAGTGGCTATCTTTTCTCCAGTGTACATTTTTGGCCCCTTTGTCTAATATGAGATAACTGTATTTATTTAGATTTATATCTGTGTCTTCTATTCTGTTCCACTGGTCTTCATGTCTGTTTTGGTGCTATGCCATTTCTGTTGCTATAACTCTAAGACATAATTTAAAGTTTGGCAATTGTGATGCCTCCTATTTCACTTTTCTCACTAAAGATTGCTTTGGCTATTCTGGGCCTCTTATTTTTCCAAATGAATTTCATGACTGCTTTTCTATTTCTATGAAGAACGTCATTCAAACTTTATAGGAATTGCATTAAACCTGTATAGTGCTTTTGATGATATAGTCATTCTAACAATATTAATTTTGCCTATCCAGGAGCATGGGAGGTCTTTCCATTTTCTAACATCTTCTTTAATTTCTTTTTTTAATATTCGGTAGTCTTCATTGAAGAGGTCTTTCATCTCTTTTGTTAGATTGGTTCCCAAATATTTATTTTTGAGACTGTTATAAATGGGACAGTTTTCCTACTTCTTCCTTCAACTGATTAATCATTGATGTATAGGAACACAATTGATTTATGGTTGTTAATTATATATCCTGCTACTTTGCCGAATTCATATATGAGTTCTAGAAGCTTTCTGGTGAAATTTTTTGAGTCTTCTAAATATAGAATCATTTTGGGGCTGAGGTTATGGTTCAGTGGTAGAGCGTTTGCCTAGCATGTGTGAGGCAGTGGGTTCAATTCTCAGCACCACATGTAAATTAATAAAATAAAGACACACTGACAACTAAAAAATATAAAATAATAAAAAATACATAGAATCATGTTGTCGCCAAATAGGGATAGTTTGAGTTCTTCTTTTCCTATTTGTATACCTTTAATTTATTTCTTTTGCCTAACTGCTCTGGTTAGTTTCAAGAACTATGTTGAATAGAAGTGTTGAGAGAGGGTATCCCTCTCTTGTTCCAGTTTTTAGAGGGAATGCTTTCAATTTTTCTCAATTCAGAATGATGATGGCCTTAGGTTTAGCATAGATAGCTTTTACAATGTTGAGGTGTGTTAGTAGGAACATAGTTTTTCTAATGTTTTGAACATGAATGGATGCTGTATTTTATCAATGCTTTTTCTATATCTGCTAATATAATTACATCACCACCATCCTTAATCACATATAATTTTATATGCTTTTTGATAGGATTACACAAATTTTTAACAGACATTTAATCTGAAATTATCTTTCTGATCAAGAATTTCCTGAATAAAGTCTCCTGTGAATCAGGAAATAAGAGAAAGAATCAAAAAATGCGATAGCATCAAATTAAAAAGCTTCTGCACAGCAAAAGATACATGGAGGGCAGAGACAATCTACAAAAGGTAAGAAAACTTTTGCTAGTTGCTCTTCCAACAGAGAATTAATAACCAGAATATATAAAGAACTCAGAAAATTCAACATTAAAAAAAAAAATCAAGGGGCCAGGGTTGTAGCTCAGTGGTAGAGCACTTGCCTAGCAAGCGTGAGGCATTGGGTTTGATCCCCAGCACCACATGAAAATAAATAAATAAATAAAATAAAAGTGTTGTGTCCATCAACAACTTAAAAAAAAATCAAATAACCCAATCAATAAATGTACAAATGAAATGGATATTTCCCCCAAAGAAGTAGTACAAATGGCCAAACACAATATAAAAATAAGTGTTCAACATCTTTAACTATCAAGGAAAAGCAAATCAAAACTACACCAAGATTTCATCTCACTCAGAATGACTACTATCAAGAATACATAAAAAATATTGGTGGGGAGGCAGAAGGAGGAGGAACTCTTACACACTGTTGGTGTAAATGTAAACTAGTAGTCACTATGGAAATCACAGGTGACTGCACATCCTTATTAACACATGTTCTTAGCTTTTTTTTAATATATATATTAGTTGTCAATGGACTTTTATTTTATTTATTTATTTGTTTATTTATTTATTTATATGCAGTGCTGAGAATCAAACCCAGTGTCTTACACATGCTAGGCAAGTGCTCTATAATTGAACTACAACCCCAGCCCTCTTTGCTATATCTGAAAGAGCCATCCTAGTGGGAGTAACATAATATCGCACTGGGGTTCTGATTTGTATTTTCCTAATGATTACTGATAATAAGCACCATTGTATGTGCCTTCTGGCCATGGGTAAGTCTTCTCTGGTGAAAGTCTATTCAGGTCCTCTGCTCATGTTTTATCCAGATTGTTTGTTACTGTTGTTGAATCACAGGTCTTCTTGATATATTCTGCGTATCAATCCCTTATCTAACATGTGACTGCAAGATATCTCCTCCATTCTGTGGACTGTCTGTCTTTTCCCTCTGTAGATTCTCTTTTAATATACAAGAGTTTTAATTTTCATAAAATCAAATTTATCTATTTCTCTTTTTGTTACCTTTGATGACATGTCCAAGAAATTACTACCAAATCTAATGTCATAAAGCTCTCTCTGTTTTCTTTAAGAATTTTATATATTACTTCTTACATTTAGGTCTTTAATACATCTTGAATTAATTTCGTATATGGTGTAAGAAGGTAGAGGTCCAATGTTATTCTCTTTGCATGTGGATATCCTGACTTCTCAATGCCACTCATCAAAAGGGCTGTATAAAACTCCACCCAATGACTGGTCTTGGCACCTTTGCCAAAAATCATTTAACCATATATGTAGGACTTAACTTCTGTGATCACTTTTACATTCCATTGGTCTACAGTGTCTGTCTTTATGTCAGAATCACAATATTTTAATTACTATATATCTTTGCAGTAAGTTTTTAAAACAGGAATTATGAGAACTTTTGTTCTTTTCAATATTGTCTTGCCTATTTGGGAATTCTTGGGATTCAGCATGAAAATTAAGTTAGATTTCTCTATTTCTTTTTTAAAAATCATTGGGATTTTGATAGGAATTGCTGCAATGAATCCATAAATAACATCAATGCTTCAGGTAGCACTGAAATCTTAACTTTACTGTCTACCAATCCATGAACATGGGATGTCTACCCATTTATTTGTCTACTTTAATTTCTTTCTGAAAAGATTTTTTTATTTTCACTGTAAGGGTCTTGTCCTTCCTTTGTTGAATTCATCACTAAGTATTTCATTCTTTTTTGTTATTATTGGAAATGGAGTTGTTTTCTTAATTTCTTTCTTGAATTCTTCATTGTTACTATGTAAGGAGGCAGGTGATTTTTGTATGTTGCTTGTATTCTGCAACTTCACTAAGTTATTTTCTTTGTTCTAACAGTTTTCTTTTCTCTTTTGTAGAATCTTAAGGGTTTTCAACATATAAGATCATATCATCTGCTAATTTTACTACTTCTTTCCAATGTGGATTTCTTTATTTCTTACCTACTTGCTCTGCATATGATTTCAGTACAATGACAAACAGAAGCAGCAAAAGTGGGCATCTTGCCTTGTTCTTAATCCTGGAAGACATGCTTTCAATCCTTCACCAACAATTATGTTACGTGTGGGACTTTCCATATACCCTTTATTATGCTGAGGTAGTTTCCTTCTACTTTCAGTTTGCTGACTGGGTTTTTTTTTGTTTTTGTTTTTTTTAATCATGAAAAGTGGTTAAATTTTGTCAATGTTTTTCTGCATCAATTGAAATGATCATGTTTTCCCCATTCATTCTGTTAATATGGTATATTACATTAATTACTTTTCTCATTTCGAATCATCCCTTAGACATTCCAGGAATAAGTTGTACTTGGTCAGGATGCACCATCATTTAATGTGCTACTGAATTCAGTCTGCTTGTATTTTGTTGAGGATTTCTGCTTCAATAGTCATAAGATACTGATCAATAAGTGTGGAGTTTTTTTTTTTTTCTTGTTGTTTTTGTTTGTAGTATCCATCTGATTTGGTATCCAGGTAATTTGTGCTCTTTGGAATGAGTTAGAAAATATTCTTTCCTCTTCAATTTTTAGAAAAGTTTGAAAAGGATTCGTACTGTTAAAATATTTGGTAAAATTCATGCCTGAAGCTATGTGAACCTGAACATTTCTTTCTTGAAAAGTTTTTGACTACTGATTGAATCTCCTTACTGTAGGTCTGTTTAGATTTTCTATTTCTCCATGACTCAGTCTTAGCAGATTGTATGTTTCTATGACTCTGTCCACTTCGTTAAGATTATTCAGTTTCTTGGCATACAACTGTGCATCATGTTCTTTCAATCTTTAAAATCAGTAATTATGTCTCCTCTTTCACTTCTGATTTTAGTTAAGTCATATTAAATTTAGCCTAAGGCTTTCTCTGTACACATTTTAAGTTTGGTCTAAGGTTTCTCTGTTCATAGTACAAAGTTACTTAACTTGACATGCAAACAGACCGTAACCCATTGTTGTAACAAGTCTTGGCGACCACAAGCAGCCAACTATTCAAACCATCTTCAAATGAGGCAGATTCGAGCTACAACCAACTGGCCTGTTTCTGTACCTCACTTCTGTTTTCTGTATGTCGCTTTCTTTCTCCATTGTAAACAACCTGCTCATGTGGTGGTGTGGGGACACTGAACCATTTGGGGTCGACAGGTATCTCATTCTACAATCACAAATAAGCCCAGTAAGATTTGCAAAACTAGATGTGTTGTAATTGTCTAGTAACAGTCTTATCTCTTTTTTTCTCAATCAATGCAGCTAAAGATTTGTTAATTTTGTTGTTCCTTTCACCAGAAACCAACTCTTAGCTTCATTTTTGAGAACCTGGGCTTCCTGCCTGGCACATGAGATTATCTGCATGGCTTTGGAGCACAAATGATGGTTACTCATCTAATTCTGGACTGGTAACTGTAAAACTTCAAAACTGCTTTAGTAAAAATTTACCAAGCCTCACAATAAATCCTAACTTCACTTTTAAATCTGGAGGGATAGTACAAGATTCATCTATATAAAATTACATTTTAAAACTTCATTTTAAGAATGGGAGAGCCATTTATAAGTGTTTAGTTAGGATAAACATTCCTCTCAGAAAATCCTTTCATAAATAACATTTAGCCCTGGTGATGCAACAGTCTGATTTCGACTGCCTTAGGGCCAGTGAACACTCATGGAACAGCCACCCAGTCCATGAGAAAGCCTCCCACCAGGCCGGCAGCCCACTGGCTCTCAAGCTACGTGCCTGAGCAGCACAAGCTGCAAAAACTGGATCAAAACATCCCACTACTGAATAACTGTGATCTTTTCTTAATTTACAAAAAAATGTTAACGATAATGAATTCTACTTGTCTCTCTCAGACAAATAAAAACCAAAAGAATGTATATTGTATTAAGCATTGCCAAAATTTAAAAAGTGAACAGTTAACTACTTTTGTGAAAAATCCAAATGTTGACAAAATATTATGTACCACAAAATTTTCTCCAGAATAATGTTTTTAAATCACACAAAACCTGAACATATCAATAACTTCATAGCATCCCTTATAAAGCTCTGTGATTTCCAGGAGTTCTGACAACTAGAACTACTAACATATACTATAGTTTAATTCCCATAAAAATGAAGCTTTTAAGGAGAATGGTTCAGATTTTCATGAGTGAAATATTAAATTAGAAAACAAAATAAAAATACAACTAGGTTTAACTTTTTTTTTTTTTTTTTTTTGGTACTGGGGATTGAACTCAGGGGCACTTGACCACCAAGCCACATCTCAGCCCTATTTTGTGTTTTATTTAGAGACAGGAGACAGGGTCTCATTGAGTTGTTTAGTGCCTCACTAAATTGCTGAGGCTGGCTTTGAACTCTCGATATCCTCCTGCCTCAGCCCCCACCCACAGCTGCTGGGATTACAGGTGTGCACTACTGCGCCCAGCCACAAGGTTTAACCTTTTTAAGAAAATAATAAATGCCAAATTTTTTTGCAAGAAAACAAAAGGTTGTCCACTTACTTCCTCTAACATGAAATCATCCAAACTAAAACCAAGCTTCAGCTAAGTTTTTACGATTCCCATCAACCAAACAAAAACTTTCTGTGATGACTGTTTTTACAATTTGATTTTTTTAATAAGTCAGCAAGACCAAAATTTTAACTTTTAAAGATTAAGAAATAAGTTTCCTCAAAAAACTTAATTCTTTCTAACTTCAGGGTCTTTAATACAAACTGTTCCCAAGTATAATGTGTACTCAAATTGCCTTTTCCCCCATGGAAACAATACTTTACTATACCAAAATGCCAATCATAATAGAATCAGAGGTATTTTTACTGCTGTTAGACACTTATGTCCTGTTTTTCCCAAAAATGCACCTCTGTCCTTATGCAGGCACAAGCAAAAGTTATCTTTTTAGTATTAAAAATCACTATATTACTAAGCATCATCCATGACAGTGGCATTAACAAACTGTGGCACATGCATGTAATGGACTTCTCTACAGCAATGAAAATGAGTAAGAGCTACATCACCAACATGGATTCATTTCACAAAAATAAAGCTGAGCAAAGAAGCCAGCAACAAAGATGTTAACATTCAGATCCTACTCAAAGTTCTTTAAAAGTCAAAACAAATTATTTGCAGTTAAGAGGTAAAAACATGGAAGGAAGGAAGCAATCCTTGAAATCAAGCAGCAGCCAGAAGGGTCAGCAAGGAGTGTGGTGGGAAGAGGTGCTGGAGATGCAGGCAGGACTCTATATCTCCCCTGGACTGTGGCGAGGTGTGCACTGGCCTTGCTGCTGTTCTTCAAACCATACACACATCTTAGGCACACTCTTCATCTTGATATCTAGCCATTTTAAAAAAGAAAAAATAAGCATGCTCCAACTTGACACTCAAAATTGGGTTTTGTTGCTTTGTTTTTCTCACTGCACAACAATAGTCTGAAAAACTGCTGGACATCACACACATTAAGTGTATCAAATACTAAAAACCAGACAGCCAGCCACCCCAGAGTTACCACTTCTTCTCACCTAGGCATATGAGATGGGACTTGACCATTTCTTCTTCATATTACCAACATGTACTCCAGGTAATTCTAATCACCAAGGAAGTTTGGAAAATATATTTCACTCCAGTGAATGACATACTACCAGAGGCCTGAGATGAAAATATTCCCAACCACTCCCTGGGAGATTTAGACAGAAAGTCTATAATCTGATTTTGTGAAGTGTCACCTAGTGATCCTTATGATTAAGTCAAATCTGGAAAACACTCTTCACCACCACAGACAGACAAGTGGCTCGATCACACCATTGTGCTTAAACCTCTTGCCAGCCAATGCACAATGGTAAAGGGTCAAATCTGAGCAGAAAGGAAAAACAGAAATACGAATGCTAACAAAAAAACACTTCATGATCCTCTCTAATTCCCCTGCTGTCACCAGAGCCAAAGGCTGCCGACCCTGGCAATAAGCCACATGCAAACAAGAAAGAGACAATTAACAATGAAACTACTTTCACGGATATCCTAAGCACCATTTAGGGAAACACGGTAAAAATTCTGGTTGTCTTGGTCATCAGAATTCATGTCTGTGTACTTGAAAGCATCAATCTCCTAAAGCAGAACGCTTTATTTTTATTTATTTATTTTAGTTATAGATGGACACAATACCTTTATTTTGTTTCTATATGGTGCTGAGGATTGAACCTTGTGCCTCAAGCATTCTAGGTGAGCACTCTACCACTGAGCCATAAGCACACTAAAGGGATCATTAAAATCAAAACCCCTACCCCTTTATTTTTATTTTTATGAAGCCTCACACGAATGTCACCCACACCATTGCAGCCAATACTGATAGAACACTAAATTTTATGCCAGCCACTCATATAACATGAGTGTTTTCCCTTCTAATCCTTGGGGGAAAAAAGCTTTAAAATAAAAAAAAAAACAATGTAGGAAGAAAGTAACTTGTACTGTTGTTCCCTCTTCCCTCTTCGCTCTTCCAGGGACTCAAAGTTCTCTGCACAAATACCACAGTCATACTGAACAAGTTAACCTCTTCCCTTGCTTCCCATCTCCATTCCCATTCTTTTTTCTTTAATTTATATACAAAAAGCTGAACATGCGATGACCCACAGACAGTCTGGGTGTATAAGTGTAAAATCTGCCCTGTGTTAATGGCGGAGGGCATAGGGCACCATCACCTCTGATTACAACCACCATGTCTTCACACATCAGCACACAGCTCTGTCCCTGACCTCCTTCTGTGTGTACTCCACTCTCCCCTGGCACCAAGTGCAGCCCGTCCACATGCCTGCCACGCCTCACTCCTCACAGAACCTCCTCTGCTTTTTTAACCTTTCATAATACTTACCACTTTCTATCATTTTTTATTATTTTATTATTTAATGTCCCCCTTTACCACAAAAGTATGTATTCCTCAGAGATAAATCTTTATGTTATGTGTATACAAACAGTGGCAAGCATGTGTTATGTACTTAATGTTTGTAGGATGAATTTATACTCAGACTCTCTTGATATATCAGCTTCTACATAACCTCTGAATGTAGCCACATGTTAACTAAGCTAAAATAAAATTTAAGACTGTAACATTAAAAATGTTTTATACAGGATTAGGGATAGAGCTCAGAGACAGAGCATTTGTCTAGCTTGTACAAGGCTCTGAGTTGGTCCCATTATGGCCAAAGAAATCAAAAACTGTTGCCATTAAAGTTAGGTACAGTGGTATATGCATGTAGTCCCAGCTACTAAGGATGCTAAGGCAGGAGGACCATTTGAGTCCAGGAGTTGGAGGCCAGCCTGGACACCAACATAGTAAGATATCAACTCAAAAAGAAAAAACCCTACTGTAAAATAAAATAATCTGTTAATACATGTAACCTCTGAATGGTGAGATTCTATGTAAACTCTGCATGGGGGACTCTATGCTTTTTATTATCTTCTTTATACTTATCTGTGTGCTTCAGAATTAAAAAAAAAAAACTTTCTTTTTTTTTTAAGCTTAGAAGTTAAGTATTATTGTTGTAGCATTACCATCAATTGCAGCCACTGTAGCAGCAATAGTTCGAACAATTTGTAATCAGAAGAATGTAAGGCCAACATTATAAAATTATTTTTCTCAGGGCTCCTAGTTAAGGCTTTTCATTTGCATGATAGGCATTCTATAAAATATATTATTAAAAATTGATTAATACTTTTGGTACAATACTTTAAGAGATCTGTTAACATTTAAAAAATTTTTTTAGATACAGATGGACACAACACCTTTATTTTATTTATTTGTTTTCATGTAGTGCTGAGGATTGAACCCAGTGCCTCACACATGCTAGGCAAGTGCTGTACGGCTGAGCCATACCCCAGCCCATACATATATTTTTAAAAGATGATTTTGGCTCATTTCTTATTATTTTCTTAATAACAGATTTTATTTGATAGCCTTCTCTAAGTTTTAGTATCAATATCCTGATCAAACCAAAATCTTCATGAATGGATACTCTGTTTAATGTTAATCTTTTTCTCATGCTCTTCCTCCTTGCTCTGTTTTTAGTTGCTCTCCTTATATCAAAGAAGACATTTGGCATTTGTTTTTTAGGGATTGGCTAGCTTCACTGAGCATAATCTGCTCTAATGCCATCCATTTCCCTGCAAATTCCATGACTTTATCATTTTGTAGTGCTGAGTAATACTCCATTGTGTATAAATGACACATTTTTAAATCCATTCATCTATTGAAGGGCATCTAAGTTGGTTCCACAGTCTAGCTAAAAAAAAACTTTCTAAAGCCTATTTCATTTTACATAACATACACTAAACAAAAGACAAAATAAAATACACAGAAATCTTAACTCCATTGCACCTATTCAAATTTATAAATATGCACTGCTTTTGACAATATAGAAAACCATTTACTAAAATGAACACGTAACAAAGCTCTTAACTCCCAAATCTATTCACAATTTAGAAAAGATGAAATTAT